AGCAGCCCGCGCTCATCTCCAGAACACTGTTCTATCAAGGCACCTTCGGCCTCATTTTCTCCAGCTCCATCAACTACTTGGTCGCACCTCCCACCATTCTTCATCTCCGGAGTTCTTTTATTTGTGTTTGCGGATTCTCTAATGTATTTTGCAGAACATTTTCGTCATTTCGGCAACAAAGAAGGTCCTAGGACACGCGTCCTTCGGCCTAAGTTCAGCTAACCAACCCTACTTCTTCGTCAGAGGTCCTGTCATCATCATCTACTTCGAAACTCAGACATGTTGGATCCGCTTTCGACAAACTGCGTGCTTACGTGTGTCAACCCCCGACACGTCGATCCATTATTATGTTCATTGCCATTGAAAACGCTTGAAAATTAAAATATTGTGCACACCACGTAGTAACTTTTGTAAAATTTCAAGGTCTTACGCGATAAATAGGCGACTATCTTCGTTGAATTTCAAAAATCCATCGTAAATTTTAATATTATCAAAAGTGTTAAAAGTCTAGATTTCAAGAATCAATTACCTTAGAAAATAGACTATAAATGGTTACTTTTTAAAAAGTCAAGGATATTAACAGTAAAACTTCTCACTTTTTTGTTATTACTAGTTGGAGGCCACGTGGTTTGCACGTGGGTATATAATTATTATTTTTCATATATAATATTATTAATGTTAAATTTATAAAGGTTGAGCTTTTTTTTAATTACTTATTTTTTTAAGATTTAATGGAAGTATTCAACTGATTAATAAGAAATAAAAAATTCAAAGTATAACATAATATGTATTTACTTTGACCTATTTAGAAACTAATTAGGAATACATATAAAAAAAAAAGAAAAAAGATGTTTATATAAGTACATGAGGATAAATTCAAGAAAAAGATTATTGTAGTCGGTTAATTTTTCTTTTTGAATCAATATATTTTAAAGCATGAAAAGATAATACAAATATCAATTTATATACATAGTCTTTAAAGCCAGGCAGTTAGAAGAAAGCAAGTATATAAAAATGCGACGTTTAATAAATTGATATTCTAAACTTGCAACAGAAAAAAAGTGGGAAATTTAACAAAATTGATTCATTTAGGAAAATTAGAAGGAAATAAAATATTTGAATGGAACATATATTTTAATATAAGATTTTGAGAAATATTATAAGATTCATATGAGAAAATAGTATTTTAGAAAACTACAAGAAAAAAAAAACGTTTAAATAAGATAAGTATTTAAAGGGAACATTTCTGAAAAAAAAAAAAACAAAATTCTGGAGAACTGCAAGAATTAATATTTAAGTGGATGGCACATTTTAGAAATGCTCTTTTAATAGATTGCATTAAAGAAACATTACTTTAGTAAAGCACATTACAAATGTAAGACTTCAAATAAAAATATATATATTTATGAAAATGCAGGTTTAAATTAGAATTTTAAAAGACATAGATAAATAGAGCATATTTAAATAAAAGAATTGGTGAGAAAAAAAAAAACAATAAAGATCTATTACGGATATATGTAAGAAGAAAAAGATATTAACTTTTTTGGCATAAAAATCAAATAACAACCTAATTAGGAATTCCAATGAGAAGGTATATATTTAAAAAAGTATTTCGTTACAATGGTCAACAAAAAAATATTTTTGAAAATCACTTTGGCTAATTAATATTTTAGAGAATCGCAAGAAAGATAAAAAAATAAGGATAAAATTAGAATAATGAGGATTTGTATGATATATATCTAAAAAAAATAATCTTATTAAGAGAAGAAAACAAAAATAAAAAAAGTAGGAAAAGGTAAGAAAAAAAAATAGAAATGACAAAATAACTTGACCAAGTTTTTGAGTAGTGATGGGAATAAACTCTATATGGGAGTTTCTTTGGTAGGAGCATAAAAACTAATTATCGTTAGTTTTTTATTTTTTAGCCGTTAAATCTGTATAAAAAACTGTATGTTTTGTATACTTTTTTAAGTTGAAGTGATTTTCACCGGATGTAATAGTTAGAAACTGATAGTATCATTAGAGACATCGATTAAAGAAAGTCCCTTTTAATATAAGTTATAGATAGATAGATTATAGATATAGATTTTTACGGCTGTGGCTTATGGCTTATAAGAGACTAAAACTGGTCGGCTTTGTTTCCTTTTCTTTAGAAGAATAAGATATTAACGACATCTATTATTTCCATCTTTTTGAAGAGAGCAATCATATTCTTACACTTTTTATTGAAAAAATTATTTTTGCTAAAGTAATAAAGTTAAAAACTTTTGCCAAAAAATACAACAACTTACATGATCCACTTTTTATTAGCAAGCACACTACTAGTTTTCTATAGCATTTATATTAGGCTCCACAAACTGACACTCAAAAAAGTATGTCAAATATCAAGCACATATTACTTAATACATTTTAACATATCTTTTACAATTAATATCAAGAATCCCATATTACTAACGCCACACAAAAAACGATCAAGAAACAAATCCAATAGATAGGAAGCATAATCGAAAGTTACACAAAGAAAACAAACACACAAACGATGAAAACCACGTTATTGTAAACAAAAAACGAACGAAGCAAAAAAATGGCAAAAAAAAAAAAAAAAAAAAAAAAATTCACACATAACAAGAATAAAGTTTTCAAGTAGAGAGACGATTATTAATGCCCGAAATAATAGAAAATGTTTAGGCAGCCAATGAAGGGAGAAGCTACTTAACTCAGCACTTTTTGACACACTTAAATGCACCGCATCACCAGGGAGAAGACAAAAATTAGCTAGCATCCCTTATTGTCTCATTTTGACTTAGTGATTTTAAAAAAATTATTTAGAAGTAATTGTTACAAAAAATAGCTGAGTGTTTGGTAAACTATAATTATAGTAGCTGTGCTAATTCTAAAATCAGTGTAATAGCGTTTGGTAAATTATAAGGTTAAATTGTTGTGGATAGCTAAAAATTACGACTATATTATATTATACTATAATATAATATATATAATTATAATATAATATATATTTATTATTATATTTAATATAATAAAAACTATTATTATATAATATATTATATAATTATGATATAGAAAATAATAATAATATTAAAATAATAATGGAAAGAATTAA